CGGCGGGCGCAGAATGCGGCGGCGGGGTGCGCGACATATTGCTGGCGCAAGCGGCGTGCCCCGTCGTTCAACGAGGTTGGGGAGATCAGGAAAGGCACCCGCGCGTTCGCGGAGCAGACAAAGGATCGGGCTGCGTCACATCAAGCGAATGGGCACATGAAAAGGTGTCTTAGTGGCCCGCATGGGAGAGGCGCGGCGCTGTCGGCGCAGGAGAGCGCCGACTGGCGTTCGCACCGGGGCCCTGGAGAAGCGACTGCCGCCGAGAGTCTACAGACAGCCAGAACGGCCATGATGCCAGAGGTAGTTGGATTGGCGCTGCGTCTGCGCGCGCAAGGGGATCGCGCGCCCGTCGCAGTATCTTGGACGCTGGAGGCGGACAGAAGTGACAGGTTCAGGGAAGTGTGGATCGCGTCGAAGAGTCACTTGCACTTGCGCGGCATGCGCCCCGTGGGCGACTCAGGAGCACCTGAGCTAGCATATCTGTTTCTGTGAAAATTAACGCTGGCGCGTGGAACTTGCGGCCTTTCCCCAAAGCGAGGGAGAGCTTTCAGCGGCTGCCAGCGACGAGTAGCAGGCGACGTTGATGGCTTCAGGCGCGCAGAAGGTGCGCGAGTCAGAACGCGAGAAAGAGAAGGGCAGCGAAGGGGGCCCGCAGTTGGTGGCGCAGTTGAAAGCGGGCGCGGGCTACGTTGTGATGGAAAGGGGGCGCGAGGCGCGGGCGCCGTCCCCTTGTGCGCCTGGGATGAGAGCTCTCCGGCGCACGTGAGCATCGGCTCGGAACGAGCACGCTAGAAATTCATGTTTCTACGGGGCGCCGCAACCGAAGTACAGGGTTGTACGAGAAGACGGGAGTGGGCTGCAATTGATTGCGTGCTTTCGGGCTTTCGCGCTTCGAGACGATGTGGGCTGCGGAGTGCGGCATTTGTGTGACTTGCGCGGGCCGCGCGGAGGCGCCGCTGGAATGGTCGAGGGGTGGGCTTCTGTGGGAAGAAACGAAAAGGTTCGTTCATAATTGCATGAGCGTGGTAGGCTTGCGACCCGCGACAGATGCAGACGTTGTCAAACACGGAAGCGAGCTGCGCATCGATGAATCGACGAAGAACTTGATTGAGGCGGAAGACTCACGTCGGCGGCGCACCCACGGGGAAAGACGACAGGCGGACGAACGTTGCGATGGAAGTCGAGAAGGACCGGGCGCGGGCAGCGATGGCTGGTTGAAACGCGGTGCCAGGCGAGGGCGCGAGCAGGAAGGGCCGGATACATGAAGAAGAGCGCGTTGAAATGGGGCGACGAAGCAGTGGAAAACGCGCGACCAGTGGCCGCCGCGTCGAAAACGCAGGAAGGAAGCGTCGAAGGGGCAGCGGTGGGAGACCCGGTCGTGGCGACAGGGGAGAAAGAAGGCAACGGCCTCGAGCGCGCGGAAGTGGCGGAGAGGCCTTGCGCGTGGAGACTTGAACGCGGGGCAACGCAGCGCAGTGCGAAAAGTATCAGATCGTGCACCTGCGCAGGAATTCGCGTCGGACGCGCAGGGCGAGCCGGCGACGGGCATGAGTTCCGCCGTGGAGAGGATTCGCATATATTTGTTTGAGCCAGAGATGGGCTTGACTCACGGCATTGACTTGCAGGTGAAAGTGCTGCCGCCGAGCGGCGCCTCAGCTCTGGGCGGAGACGACGTCCGCGGTGCAATGGCATGGGCTTGAACGACACCGACGGGCATAGTAATTCAGATAACGGTGACGCAGAGACGAGGAAGGATACGAAGAAGGAAGATAATGCTCAGCGAATGTCGCAGTGGAAGTGGCTGGTCATAGGCGAGATCAGCATGGTGGTCGCAAGCTTGCTGGTTGAGCTGGATCCGCACTTGCGGCCTTGCATGTCAGCGGCAAGTGCGACGAACGTCGGAGTGGGCGGAGTGGACAGACCGCTCGGGAGCGTGAGCGTGTTGTTCTGCTGAGACTTCCATCAGCTCCAGTCGCCGCCCAGAAGAGCAATCAATGCGCTGCCCACGTCACATTCGAAAGATGGAGGAAAGATGCACGCGCCAGGGTCCGCAGAGGACCACTCGCAGCACGTGTTCTGGCGCGCCGGAGACACAGGGGCAGTTCAGAGGATGACGGACCAAGACGATTAGATTTTCGGCGTGCAAGACGGGCTTCGGCGAGGGGCGCTGACCGAACGCGCGCGCTTTTTCTCGCATAGCAGGGCAGCGGGCGCGCCAGTTTCGCGGGCGAACGGCGCAGCGCAGCGCGGAGACGCGCGCCGTCGGGACAACGCAGAGGCGATTGCCAAACAGAAGTCGCTCGAGCGCAGGGCTTGCGCAGGAGAGCGAAAGGACATAACGCATGTTGCGACGCCGCCACAGGGCGCGCGATTTCGGGAGGAGGCATTTGCCGAGGATGTCAATCAGGACATCTGGTGCCTCGTCGGGAAGTCGAGGGCTGCGCTGTGGGCGAAGGAGCAAGGAGGGCAGCTGCTGTGGGTCGCAGCAGGAGATCGCCAGTGCCCTAGAGTGGAGCAAAGGAGGCCGCGCACGGTGGAGGACCACATGCGGTGCCTGGGGTGCCGCGACAAGGAGTGCGCGAGTTTGCCCGGGCTCCTTCCGCATGCGAAGGGCATGCCAGTGGCTTCGGGGGACCATCTCGACTCGTCAAAGAAACAGGTCCTGCGGGAGCGTGCGTCGACACTTCATGGTTGGGTTCTTCACGAGGACGAGGTCGCGGGGATGAGGGCGAGGAGGCACTGCTGCACTTGCCGAGAGTAGTTAAGTGCGTTATACTCTCAGGGCTCTATCCGATCTTCCTGTCGAACGGGCGCCAGTGCCACTTGGGCAGGCATGGGGAGTTATCCGCGTCGAGTGCGAAGTCATGATCGCGCCGTTGTTGGCAGTGGCGGCGCGCGCCGCGCAAGGCCAGATTACGGGCGCAGTGATTGCGGGCCTTTAGCGAGGGCGCGGCGTCGGTTGGGCGCCCAGATCCGCGGCCATCGCGCGCGCGCGGCGGCGAGAGCACCTTTTCTTTTCACGGGGGGCCGCGCTGAGCAGGCGAGATGGCGGGCGCGAAAAAGCTGTTGCAGATTCCCCGAGGGGAGGGCGTGGACTCGGAAGAGTGGGGGGCGCAGCTGATGCCGCGAGACGATCGCGGGCGGCGCCCGCGCAGGCAGCTTGTAGAGGCACTCCCGAAGTATGAGTTCCAGAGGAAGGAGAGGCCGGCATCTTGCAGATAATGCGCAGTGGAAATGGATATCGCAATGGGAAATTGTGCACGACGCGCAGCGCGTGACCGACGGGAACCGAAGTCGGCGAGAGAGTTTCGCAGGTCGGCGACCGCGGGGGCGGCGCCTGCGGCCTGGGAAGGGCGCGCGGAGGCGAGCGAGAAGGACGAAGTATTGCGCGAATTGCGCGGACATGAAGGCTCGGCAGAAGTCGCGAGTTGGGGCCGCGAGTTGGGAGGAAGCCACGGAGAGGGTGCGATGTTCGACCGTGAAGTGTCCGGCGCTATTCGGTGATTCAGCCGAAGTATCGAGGCGCCAGAAAGAGGCCAAGCGCAGCAGAACAATATTGTGCAAGACGTGTGCGGAGGAAAAGGATAAAGCGGCGCGGAGAGCGAATGCCGCAGCGGCGAAACGCGAGATAAAAGCAGAGGCGGTAGCGAAGCCGCTGACGCGTTGCGTGCCGGGTTGCTGGGCAACTTTCTGGGGCGCGGAGCATTTGAAGCCTGAGCAGGTGAAGGGGCATCGAAAAGAGAGGAGCATTAGAGTGGTCGGTGGAGAGTATGACAAGCGGGGCGCCACCGCGAAAGGAGTAGCCGGCGCGGCGAAGCGTTGGAAACGACAGATGAAGCGCGCAGCGTACGAGAAGAAATGTCCTCAGCAGGACCGCGTCAGTGACAGACAAGAGGTTGAGTACTTCACTCGGAAGAGCAAAGTTGTACGCGCGGATTGCATTGCCGCCAGCTGCATGGCGCGCAATTGGCAAACGCACGAGTGCTTCGGCGCCTGCAAGAGGAAGTTTCCGAAATCTCCGTTCGCGGTTGGAGGCAAGCGCGCGCCCACCAGCACCGCGCTGAAATGCAAGGCGCGCGCGAGACCCGCGGAAGCGCCCGTGGCAGTTCACGAATGCCCAAAGCTTCACGGGGGAAGAAATGGAGGACGATGGGGGCTATGTAGATGGAGGACGAGAACGAGGACCAGGAGGACAAGCAGTAGGCGAAGGAGGAGGAGGAACGCAAGCAGGAGGAGGAGGAGGAGGAGGAGGAGGAGGAGGAGGAGGAGGAGGAGGGGGAGGAAAAGCAGGAGGAAGAGGAGGAAAAAAGAGGATCTCGTGTTGGGTCCTCAACTCCAGCCTCCGACGGCCATCCGGGACGACTCGGGCACCCCAGGAACGCACGTTGCCACCCCGAAAGTGGAGACCCCGTGTGGGCTCCCAGATTGTGAAAACAAATCAGGGCAGTCGGTCCATCCTGGCACGGATGTGGGTCACATGCCCTCTTGAGCTGACTTGCGGCCCTCTTGGTGGGCTCTTCGGGCTCTCTTGGGAACCTCTGGGGTTGGCTTGGACGAAGCGAAACTCAAACAAGCGGATATGTTGAAACTATACGTTGCCCTGGGGAAATGTGACGAATTGTGATTATGTGGGCCTTCCTGGAACATTTTTTGGAGGCCTCCTGGGGCGTGTGGAAGCCATCTTGGACGTCTTGGGGCGATCTTTCGGTGACTCAGGGCTCTCTTGGACCGTCATTGGGGCTTCTTGGGAAGCCCCTGGGGCAGTATGAGAACTCCAGAGCGAGCCCGGCAAAGGCCGGACCCCCCCTGGTGAGTTCGGGAGTGGTCCGTCTTAGGCCCGGGAGGGGGGGAGTCAAATTGATGGTTTTGGGGCCCCGGGGGGGGATTCTGGAGGAGGAGAAAATTCACACGCCTAGAGACAGACCCCAATGGGTCGCGGCTTTCACAGCGTCCTGGACGGCCCAAGAGGCTCCCAAGATGGCCCAGAAGGCCCCCATCCGTAGACATTTTGGCTCAAGCCAGTTGTGAGTTGTGTTCAAGAGCAGCATTTAATTTTCGGTTGCAGCACGCGCGGGGCCCAGATCATGGCCATGCCGAGCGACGTCTTCGCCACAGCGCCCACGAAGCAGGGTCTCGGGGACGTGGCGACAAGGGACACGTTCATCGAGTTGTTCGAAGACAAGCGCCAGGGCTCACGCAGTCTTTCCTGGTCCAGCAGCGAGCCCTGCAGCGAGTCTTCTTCCAGCAACAGCGCGTTCTTCGACGCCGACCGCGTCAGCACTACTTGGGTATCGACGCACGTGGGAGAGGCTTGGGCATCGAACGGCCAGGAGGAGACCACGAGTTACAGCCTCGACAAGTGGCGTTTGTCCGCCGCCGCGGAGGCAATCGACGATGTCCCCGAGCAGCTGGGCCGAGTGGTGCAGAACAAGGCTAAGAGCCTTGCCGAGAGCGTGAAGACCGAGCTGGCCTTGGTGCAACAGGCCATTCGCAGCAGGGGTGGGGGCGAGGATGGCGTCGATGCGGCCATCGATCATCTGGGCAAAATCCCAGAGATCATCAGGAGGTCGTTTCACTCGAAGGTCATGGAGGCTAACGGCGAGATGCGGCTGGCGATGCAGCTGAAGCGGAGCGCCATCGTGCAGATGCTCAAGACCACTACCCCTGATGGTCAAGAGCTGGTGAGGCGATTGTGGACCATTCCCGAGAAGCTGGAGCAGATCGTTGCGCAGGCGGTTGGCCAGGCCGTGGAAGAGTCCCAGCTGGAGACTACCAGGCGTTGCGAGCGCGTGTTGATGAGCCTGCCGCCGGACGCGGGTGTGTGTCGCCATGCCTTGATAGACGCCGAACTACGCATCGTGGAGGCGGTGACCGAAATGTACTCCGAGACGATGCGGGCCCTGAGGCGCACGGCCAATGCGAACGTGAGGCTCGCCGTGACCTACGTGCAAGACCCATGAAGACCCCCGCCGTATCCCAGTCCGTGGCTATGCCCCGCGGCCCGTTCGGCTCAGAAGAGCCGCAGCCGTGGAGTCGCCGGCCGCGCCCGCGCAGCCAGGTCGGTCGAGAGATCCGCTGGACAAGGCAATTCATGATGTGTTGACTCCCGCGCCGCCACTTGACTGCGCAATTTACGAGGCACGTGCGTTCATTTGTTGGCGCGCTGGCCTTTCAGAGCCCTCATCGTCAATGCGGGAGAGGCATGGGGGCATGCGGTCCGCTGCTGCGCCCGAATACCTAGAGTTGTGGAGCGAGAGGTCTCTGCCATGCCATGGTAGATGTCTCCGATCGATTCTTTTTGCGGTGGAGGGTTCCGCTGCCCATCTTTGCGTTCCGAGCCTAACAGACACAGACGTTAGTTTGCCTCCTCGCTCTGTACGGCATGATGGTTCTGGCTTCTGTAGGCCAGGCCGAAGGGAGTCGCCAAGCCTTCCCACATCAGGATCATTTGATGTGTCACCACGTGTTTTTTCGCTCCAGGGGATCGCAGGTACCCCAGACGCATGACGTTCGGATGGAACACACGCAGCGCCCGCTGCCAGTGATCCAATTGTTCCTTTTGTGGCCGTTGCGTGGCTTCGACGTGGCGCCCTGTTCGCTTCAGGTACTGCGTCTTCGCTCCTCGTCGTATCGCTGTCCAGTGCCACCAGTGGTTTTACGCTTCTGGTGGTTGTGGCCTTTTACGAGGTGCGTCAGGGCAGTTGGATGTGGAACAGCGCGGCATCTACAGCGCGTGAGGACTCCAAGCAGTGGGTTCTCACAAGTTCTGTGTGCACTCGATGTGGCGCCATCTAGAGCTAGCGGATACACTCTTCTGCGGTGCAATTCAGATGTCAATGTTGAAGCCGTCACCTCCAATTCTCGTGCAAACAACCCACCCGCCACCCCCCCTCCCCGCAACTTGCTGTCAAAACTGTATCCCGGGGAGCGGCAGCAGTGGGGGGGCGGGCTCTGAAGAGAGGAGGAGTTGCCTGGGGAGTACGGGCCCACTTCGAGCGCACACGAGCAAGTGCAAGCCGAGCGCTCAGGGCGGCGGCGCAAGACACGATTTGGGGAGTACAGTGTCCCCACAGTGCTCTGGACGGCGCTTTCCATGCCCAGCGAAAGCCACACACTAGCACCTTGGCAGGCTTGCAGGTGAGCTCCACTTGCGCACAGCTCAGCATGCTGATATTCAGAAGCTGGTGGCTCTTTCTCCTCCCTCCTGTTCCTTCCTTCCTCCCCCTTCTGCCTCCTCCCCGTCTTTCCCCTGCCTTCACATTTGAGTGCTCAGCAGCGGAGGTCTATCAGCGCGTCAATCGGTGTGCCCCTCGCGCCAAGGCGTGTCAGGCTGGCAGGCTGAGTTGTGGGTGACGTCCGCCTGCAAATAGCCCAACAATCTTTATTCATATTCAGGACGTGTTTCTCCTCCCCCCCGACACACACCTCACAGTGATTTTCGTGGGCACGGTATGCTTTCGGCATGGCGTGCGAAGCAGCTGGCAGCAAAGACGCCCTACGCCAGATATGGCAGCAAGGCGGGCTGGCATGGCGCATCCGCGCAACACGCTTCAGCAATCTTTATTCATATTCATGACGTGTTTCTCCTCCCCCCACACTCCTCACAGTGGATGTTCTTGGACACGTTGTGCTTTCGGCATGGCGTGCGAAGCAGCTGGCAGCAAAGACGCCCTACGCCAGACATGGCAGCAAGGCGGGCTGGCATGGCGCATCCGCGCAACACGCTTCAGCTTGCAGTCATTAACGACTGCAGCTCCTCCTTCTCCTCCACCCCTCCTCTTCCTCCTCGTGGTGCCATTGTAACATACAGTGTCTGCTGCATGGAGCGCCTTCCAGGAAGGCAACCACACCTTGCTGTACCGATTCCTTCCAACCCACCTACGAAGTGGATGGCGCGCTTGCGTGCTTGCTCTCCACTCCTCGCATCCGTGTTCTCCTCGCTGTTGTGTCTGATTGTCTAGCATACCTATCGCGCACGGGCGTGTCAGATTGCCAAGCCGACTTGCAGTTGAATTCCGCAGGAGCTAATATCCAGTCAGTAGTTGGCGGCTCTTTCTTGCCCCGGCTTCTCACTTTCCCACAGCGGCCGCATCGCGTGCAACAAAAAAGACGGTCCAGGAGGCCCCCAAGAGAGCTCCAGGACGGTCCAAGACGGGCCCAGGATGGCCCAGGAGGCCCCCCAGATGGCCCAAGAGAGCCCCAAGACAGGCCCAAAAGGGGTCCCAGAGGGTGAAAACCAAGTTCAAATTTAGAGTTGGCCCAGGAGGCCCGAAGAAGCCCCCAAGAGGCCCAAAGAGGCCCCCAGAGGCCCCAAGAGGCTCCCAAAAGCCACCTAAGAGTCCCCCAATAAGCCCCTAAGAGGCCCCAAACTTGTTTCGATCTGCCCCCGGGAGGCCTCCACGATGCCTCCACAGCGCCCCCAAAGAGGCTCCAAACATTGCCTCCAAGATACCTCCAACACGCTTACATCTCCTACTGTTTGCCCCATAGGTTGCGCCCTTGGCCGCCGAGAATAACCGTCTCCTATTGGTTGCGCCATAGGTTACGCCCTCGGCCTCCGAGAATTACACCGTCTCCCATTGGTTGCGCCATAGTTTGCGCCCTCGCCCGCCCAGAATGAAATCTTCTCCCAGTGGTTGCGCCATAGGTTGCGCCCTCGGCCGCCGAAAACAAGTGGCACGCGTGCTCTGGCTCTTGCATATACGAGGAGAGAAAGAGAAGGAGACGCAGATGGGGGGATCGAGGAAACAAGGAGGAGGAGGAGATGGAGGAGGAGGAGGAGGAGGAGGAGGAGGAGGAGGAGGAGGAGGAGGAGGAGGAGGGGACTGGGTCCAGGGCCAAGGCCAGGGGTACGACGACGAGCGAAATGAAGGAGTCCAGGGAAGGAGGGGGCTGGGGCCAGGGCCAGGGAGGACGATGGGTCCAAGGACAGGAGCCTGGTGGAAAAGAACGAGGGGGTTCGTGGGTCGGAGGACAGGGCGAATGACTGGGTGAGGGCCCTGACAGGTGGGACGTCGAACGCAACGATAAATAAAAGGGTTCGGGTGCTGGGGAGGATGGAGGGGGGTCAGGAGGAGGAGGCTAGGTTGGTGGGCGGTGGCACGTGCCGAAATAAAGCGGTCGGGGCGGAGGTGGCGCGTTGGCTGTTGGGGCCGGCGCCGTGCCAAAATCAAGCTGTCGGGGCGGAGGGGGTGCGCTGGCTGGTGGGGCCAGCGCCGAGGGGGCACTCTGGCTGGCGGGCTGGCTGCGCTGGCTGCTTCGGCATGGCGGCTGCTTCGGCTTGGCTGCTTCGGCATGGCTGCTTCGGATGGATGTGGAGGCCGGGGGGTGCTTCTGCAAGCTGCTTGTAGAACGTGGATGCGGAGGGGGGGCGCGCTGTGAGCGCGGGCGGAGGGGCTGCATCGACCGTGCGGTGCCGAAATAAGTCGTCGGAGCTCTTAGGAAAGACCCTGGTGCAAGTCGAGATGAAAGGTAGTCGGGGCGGGGGGAGCGCGTATGGCTGGTGTTCGGGGGGGAGGGGGATGCGGAGGGGGCGCGCGGGATGGGGGAGGAGGGTGCCGTGCCGAAATGAAAGGGTTGGGGCGGAGGAGGCGCGCTGGCTGGTGGGAGTGACGCGGAGGGGGCGCGTGGGATGGGGGGGCGACGTGCCGAAATAAAAGGGTCGGGGCGGAGGGGGCGCGCTGGCTGGCGGGTGGTGGGATGGTGGTGTGGGTGCGGGGAGAGGGGTGGGAGTGCCGTGCCGAAACGAAAAGGATCGGGGCGGAGGGGCGCGCTGGGGTGGGAGGGCGCGGGGGGCGCGCGCCGGGATGGGGGGGGGGCGGTGACGAAATAAAAGGGGGGGGCGGATTGGGCGCGCTGGCTGTTTGGGGTGGGGGGGCTGCGGATCTGGGTGGTGTGCGGTGCCGGAAATAAAAGGGGTCGGGGCGAGGGGGTGTGCCGTGCCGAAATAAAGAGGTCGGGGTGGAGGGGCGCGCTGGCTCCGTGGGGCGTGTGTCCGGGGCGGGGGGGCGGAGCGGTGTGCCGTGCCGAAGTACAGTGGTCGGTGCGGAAGGATTGGGCCGCGCGCGGGGGGGGACTTGAGGGGGGACGGCCGAATTAAAAAGGGTCGGGGCGGTGGGTGTGCGGCTGGCTGGTGGGTCGGGGGGGATGCTGGGGGGGGTTGCCGTGTCAGAAATACAATCGGTCGGGGCGTGGGGCGCGCTGGCTGGTAGGTGGGGGGATGCGGAGGGGGTGTGCCGTGTCGAAATAAAAAGGTGTCTGGGCGGAGGGGTGTGCCGTGCCGAAATAAAAGGGGTCGGGGCGGAGGCGGGCGCGCTGGCTGGTGGGTGGGGGGTGGTTTGCGGGAGGGGGGATGGGCGTGCCGACGAAATGAATGGGGTCGGGGTGTGCGCGCTGGCTGGTGGGTGTGGGGCGATGGTGGAAGGGGGTTGTGCGTGCCGAAATGCAGGAGTCGGGGCGGGTAGGGGGTTGCGCCGCGCGCCGAAAATTAAACAAGTGGTCGGGGCGGAGGCGCGCGCTGGTTGGTGGGCGCGGGGGGTTGCGGAGGGGGTTGTGCCGATGCGAATGAAAGGAGGGTCGGGGCGGAGGGTGTTGCCGTGCCGAATAAAAAGGGGTCGTGGTCGGAGGGGCGCGCTGGCTGTTGGGCCAGGGGGATGCGGATGGCGGTGTGGGCCGTACCGAAGAATACATGGGTCGGTGGCGGAGGGTCGGTGCGCCGTGCCGAACTAAAAAAGTGGTCGGGGCGGAGGGGCGCGTGGCTGGTCGGCGGGGGGGATGCGGAGGCGGTGTGCCGTGCCGAAATGAAAGGGGTCGGGGCGGAGGGGTGTGCCGTGCCGAAATAACAGGGGTCGGGTCGGAGGGGCGCGCTGGCTGTTGGGTCGGGGGATGCGGAGGCGGTGTGCCGTGCCGAAATACAAGGACCGGGGCGGAGGGGTGCGCCGTGCCGAAATTAAGGGGTCGGGGCGGAGGGGCGCGCTGGCTGTTGGGTGGGGGGGATGCGGAGGGGGCGTGCTGTGCCGAAATGAAAGGGGTCGTGGCGGAGGGGTGTGCCGTGCCGAAATAAAGGGGTCTGGTCGGAGGGGCGCGCTGGCTGGTGGGTGGGGGGGATGCGGAGGGGGCGTTGAGGGGGAATGCCGTGCCGAAATACAGGGGTCGGGGCGGAGGGGTGTGTATTTTAGGGGTGTGCCGTGCCGAGATAGAAGGGGTCGGGGCGGAGGGGCGTGCTGGCTGGTGGAATATGTGGGTGATGGAGGGGGTGCCGTGCCGAAATACAGTGGTCGGAGCTCTAGACACCCTGTGCAAGAGAATAAAACCATCGCCTATTGGTTGCACCATAGTTTGCGCCCTCCGCCGCCGAGACTCAAACCGTCTCCTAGTGGTTGCGCGAAAGATTGCGCCCTCGGCCGCCGAAAATAACACCGTCGCGTAACGGGTGCGACCAGTCAGCTCAGTTCAGGTCCGTTTGTCGAGTTTAACCTCGCGAGAAGCCAATTCGGGCAACTCCCGAAAATCTAATTATACGTCGTCGAAAGAGAATGGGTTGATGTTTGATTCTGGGGGCCTTCGTGAAACACTGCGTTGAGGGCCCATGGGGCGTCTGGAAGTCATCTTGGACGTTTTGGGGCGACCGTTCGCTGTTTGGGGGCTCTAGAGCGGGCCTGGGGAGGGCCGGATCCCCCCCTGGTGAGTTCGGGAGGCGGACCGTCCCAGGCCCGGGAGGGGGGGGGGTCAAATTGCCGGTTCGGGGGCCCCGGGGGAAGGGGGGTTATGGAGGGGGAGGATAATAGGCGGGGGGGGGGGATAATAGGGGGGGATAATAGGGGGGGGGAAGAAACTCACACGCCCAGAGACTCTAAAGGGGTCGGCGGATTCGCCTTTTCGGCTTTCGCAGCGTCCGGGACGGCCCAGGAGGCTCCCAAGACGGCCCGGGAGGCCCCCATCCGAGAAATTTTGGCTCAAGCCAGTTGTGCTCAAGAGCAGGATTTCGTTCGCGGCTGCAGCACGCGCGGGGCCCAGACGATGGCCATGCCGAGTGACGTCTTCGCCACAGCGCCCACGAAGCAGGGTCTCGGGGACGTGGCCACAAGGGACACGTTCATCGAGTTGTGCGACGACGAGCGCCAGGGCTCACGCAGTCTTTCCTGGTCCAGCAGCGAGCCGTGCAGCGAGTCTTCTTCCAGCGGCAGCGCGTTCTCCGACGCCGACCGCGTCAGCACGGCTTGGGTATCGACGCGCGTGGGAGAGGCCTGGGCATCGAACGGCCAGGAGGAGACCACGAGCTACAGCCTCGAGAAGTGGCGCTTGTCCGCCGCCGCGGAGGCAATCGACGATGTCCCCGAGCAGCTGGGCCGAGTGGTGCAGAACAAGGCTAAGAGCCTTGCCGAGAGCGTGAAGACCGAGCTGGCCTTGGTGCAACAGGCCATTCGCAGCAGGGGTGGGGGCGAGGATGGCGTCGATGCGGCCATCGATCATGTGGGCAAAATCCCAGAGATCATCAGGAGGTCGTTTCAGTCGAAGGTCATGGAGGCGAACGGCGAGATGCGACTGGCGATGCAGCTGAAGCGGAGCGCCATCGTGCAGATGCTCAAGACCACTACCCCTGATGGCCAAGAGCTGGTGAGGCGATTGTGGACCATTCCCGAGAAGCTGGAGCAGATCGTTGGGCAGGCGGTTGGCCAGGCCGTGGAAGAGTCCCAGCTGGAGATTACCAGGCGTTGCGAGCGCGTGTTGATGAGCCTGCCGCCGGACGCGGGTGTGTGTCGCCATGCCTTGATAGACGCCGAACTGCGCATCGCGGAGGCGGTGACCGAAATGTACTCCGAGACGATGCGGGCCCTGAGGCGCACGGCCAATGCGAACGTGAGGCTCGCCGTGACCTACGTGCAAGACCCATGAAGACCCCCGCCGTATCCCAGTCCGTGGCTATGCCCCGCGGCCCGTTCGGCTCAGAAGAGCCGCAGCCGTGGAGTCGCCGGCCGCGCCCGCGCAGCCAGGTCGGTCGAGAGATCTGCTGGACAAGGCAATTCATGATGTGTTGACTCCCGCGCCGCCACTTGACGAGGCACGTGCGTTCATTTGTTGGCGCGCTTGCCTTTCAGAGCCCTCATCGTCAATGCGGGAGAGGAATGGGGGCATGCAGTCCGCTGCTGCGCCCGAATACCTAGAGTTGTGGAGCGCGAGGTCTCTGCCATGCCATGGTAGATGTCTCCGATCGATTCTTTTTGCGGTGGAGGGTTCCGCTGCCCATCTCTGCGTTCCGAGCCTAACAGACACAGACGTTAGTTTGCCTCCTCGCTCTGTACGGCATGATGGTTCTGGCTTCTGTAGGCCAGGCCGAAGGGAGTCGCCAAGCCTTCCCACATCAGGATCATTTGATGTGTCACCACGTGTTTTTTCGCTCCAGGGGATCGCAGGTACCCCAGACGCATGACGTTCGGATGGAACACACGCAGCGCCCGCTGCAAGTGATCCAATTGTTCCTTTTGTGGCCGTTGCGTGGCTTCGACGTGGCGCCCTGTTTGCGTCAGGTACTGCGTCTTCGCTCCTCGTCGTATCGCTGTCCAGTGCCACCAGTGGTTTTACGCTTCTGGTGGTTGTGGCCTTTTACGAGGTGCGTCAGGGCAGTTGGATGTGGAACAGCGCGGCATCTACAGCGCGTGAGGACTCCAAGCAGTGGGTTCTCACAAGTTATGTGTGCACTCGATGTGGCGCCATCTAGAGCTAGCGGATACACTCTTTTGCGGTGCAATTCAGATGTCAATGTTGAAGCCGTCACCTCCAATTCTCGTGCAAACAACCCACCCGCCACCCCCCCTCCCCGCAACTTGCTGTCAAAACTGTATCCGGGGGAGCGGCAGCAGTGGGGGGGCGGGCTCTGAAGAGAGGAGGAGTTGCCTGGGGAGTACGGGCCCACTTCGAGCGCACACGAGCAAGTGCAAGCCGAGCGCTCAGGGCGGCGGCGCAAGGCACGATTTGGGGAGTACAGTGTCCCCACAGTGCTCTGGACGGCGCTTTCCATGCCCAGCGAAAGCCACACACTAGCACATTGGCAGGCTTGCAGGTGAGTTCCGCTTGCGCACAGCTCAGCATGCTGATATTCAGAAGCTGGTGGCTCTTTCTCCTCCCTCCTGTTCCTTCCTTCCTCCCCCTTCTGCCTCCTCCCCGTCTTTCCCCTGCCTTCACATTTGAGTGCTCAGCAGCGGAGGTCTATCAGCGCGTCAATCGGTGTGCCCCTCGCGCCAAGGCGTGTCAGGCTGGCAGGCTGAGTTGTGGGTGACGTCCGCCTGCAAATAGCCCAACAATCTTTATTCATATTCAGGACGTGTTTCTCCTCCCCCCCGACACACACCTCACAGTGATTTTCTTGGGCACGGTATGCTTTCGGCATGGCGTGCGAAGCAGCTGGCAGCAAAGACGCCCTACGCCAGATATGGCAGCAAGGCGGGCTGGCATGGCGCATCCGCGCAACACGCTTCAGCAATCTTTATTCATATTCATGACGTGTTTCTCCTCCCCCCACACTCCTCACAGTGGATGTTCTTGGACACGTTGTGCTTTCGGCATGGCGTGCGAAGCAGCTGGCAGCAAAGACGCCCTACGCCAGACATGGCAGCAAGGCGGGCTGGCATGGCGCATCCGCGCAACACGCTTCAGCTTGCAGTCATTAACGACTGCAGCTCCTCCTTCTCCTCCACCCCTCCTCTTCCTCCTCGTGGTGCCATTGTAACATACAGTGTCTGCTGCATGGAGCGCCTTCCAGGAAGGCAACCACACCTTGCTGTACCGATTCCTTCCAACCCACCTACGAAGTGGATGGCGCGCTTGCGTGCTTGCTCTCCACTCCTCGCATCCGTGTTCTCCTCGCTGTTGTGTCTGATTGTCTAGCATACCTATCGCGCACGGGCGTGTCAGATTGCCAAGCCGACTTGCAGTTGAATTCCGCAGGAGCTAATATCCAGTCAGTAGTTGGCGGCTCTTTCTTGCCCCGGCTTCTCACTTTCCCACAGCGGCCGCATCGCGTGCAACAAAAAAGACGGTCCAGGAGGCCCCCAAGAGAGCTCCAGGACGGTCCAAGACGGGCCCAGGATGGCCCAGGAGGCCCCCCAGATGGCCCAAGAGAGCCCCAAGACAGGCCCAAAAGGGGTCCCAGAGGGTGAAAACCAAGTTCAAATTTAGAGTTGGCCCAGGAGGCCCGAAGAAGCCCCCAAGAGGCCCAAAGAGGCCCCCAGAGGCCCCAAGAGGCTCCCAAAAGCCACCTAAGAGTCCCCCAATAAGCCCCTAAGAGGCCCCAAACTTGTTTCGATCTGCCCCCGGGAGGCCTCCACGATGCCTCCACAGCGCCCCCAAAGAGGCTCCAAACATTGCCTCCAAGATACCTCCAACACGCTTACATCTCCTACTGTTTGCCCCATAGGTTGCGCCCTTGGCCGCCGAGAATAACCGTCTCCTATTGGTTGCGCCATAGGTTACGCCCTCGGCCTCCGAGAATTACACCGTCTCCCATTGGTTGCGCCATAGTTTGCGCCCTCGCCCGCCCAGAATGAATCGTCACCAGTGGTTGCGCCATAGGTTGCGCCTCGGCCGCCGAAAAAAGTGGCCGCGTGCTCTGGCTTTTGCTTTATACGAGGAGGAGAAAAGAGAAGAGACGCAGATGGGGGGATCGAGGAAACAAGAGAGATGAGGAGGAGGAGAGATGGAGGAGGAGGGAGGAGGAGAAGGAGGGGGTAGGAGAGAGGAGGAGGAGGAGCGAGGAGGAGGGAGGAGGGTAGGAGGGAGGAGTGAGAAGGAGGAGGGGAGGGAGGAGGAGGGGCTGGCGTCCAGGGTCAAGGCCAGGGGTACGCGGCCAGGGGTACGACGACGAGCGAAAATGAAGGGTCCAGGGAGAGGGGGGCTGGGGCCAGGGCCAGGGGAGGACGCTGGGTCCAAGGACAGGACCAGGGTGGCGACGACGAGGGGGTCGTGGGTCGAGGACCAGGGCGAAGACTGGGTTGAGGGCCAGGACCAGGGGGACGACGACAAACGAAAATAAAGGGTTCGGGGCGAGCGGGGCTGGAGCCGGGGCCAGGTGAGAAGGCTAGGTCTGGGGCCAGGTGCCGTGCCGAAATAAAGCGGTCGGGGCGGAGGTGGCGCGTTGGCTGTTGGGGCCGGCGCCGTGCCAAAATCAAGCTGTCGGGGCGGAGGGGGTGCGCTGGCTGGTGGGGCCGGCGCCGAGGGGGCACTCTGGCTGGCGGGCTGGCTGCGCTGGCTGGTGGGGGAAGGATGTGGAGGGCCGGGGGGCTGCTTCGGCATGGCTGCTTTAGAAAGTGGATGCGGAGGGGGCGCGCTGTGAGGCGCGGGCCGAGGGGCTGCATCGACCGGTGCCGTGCCGAAATAAAGTCGTCGGAGCTCTTAGACACCCTGTGCAAGAGAATGAAAGAGTCGGGGCGGAGGGAGCGCGCTGGCTGGTGTTTGGGGGGGATGCGGAGGGGGCGCGCGGGATGGGGGAGGAGGGTGCCGTGCCGAAATGAAAGGGTTGGGGCGGAGGAGGCGCGCTGGCTGGTGGGAGGGACGCGGAGGGGGCGCGTGGGATGGGGGGGCGACGTGCC